TATAACTACATGGCACACACAATGCTAACAACATAACATGCACAACGCATTGAAACATGGCATACACAATGCAAGATGGACTTATACCAATGTGAGTGGACCTCAGCCGCACCCACATTAGTGGCCATTAGATGAAAATGAGACTCTGGAAACGCGTGCACGCATGCATGCAAACCGAGGACCAAACCTAAGGCATAGTATGAAACTCTAGCAAGGCATGGCGAGGCATGAAATATGGCATACAAGCATGTAATTTCAGCACTGAAATGTGATATAAAACAGCCCCGAAAGATGGCAAAATAGCACCCGATGCATGAAATGAAACCGAAATGCAAAACTAGGCCCATGCATTGGCCTATAGCTATATAAAACATGCATTATTCGATTATGACATGTGAAGAAAGATTCTAGGCAGCCCCAAAACAAGCATTTTTTTAGTTTTAAACAAGGCCAAACAGCAAACACACATAGGGCAAAACTAGCATGCAAAAATGGCCCTAAATGTGAGATAAAGAAGCAACTCACAGCTGCTGACCCCAAACATCTTAGGGCCCTTCAACAATGTTGAAGAGGGGCCCAAAATATGACCTTTTACAGTTTATGGAAAACCACAAAAACCAACACAGGTATGGCTAAGCTCTCATGCAAGAAAAGGGCCAAAAGATGGACAAAGAAGCAAGTAGTGGTTTCTGGCCTTAAACACAAAGGGTCCCTTCAACAATGTTGAAGAGGGGCCAAAAATATTGTACTCTACAGTTGATGGCCGGACCCTAAACAGTATGCATACAAGTCAAAAATATCATGCAAAATATGGCCAAAAAGAGAGATATAACACAAAGTATATAAAGGATGTCTCAAACAGTGAAATACCCTCAATGAAACATGAAGAACAGGCCAAGGTAAGACTGTTTTCAGTTCTGAAAATCGCCCAAAAATAGAAGCACAATAGGCTAATAAACCATGCAAGAATAGGGACCAAAGAGGGGTATAATGACAAGTGGCGCATGGAGGTCCCAAACAGTGATAAGCCCTTCTTCAATGTTAAAGAAGGGCTCAAAATAAGCCTATCTATAGTTTACATCATACTCCAAAACAGATCACACGTAGGCCAAAATTACTATGCAAGATTATGGCATACAAAGGGGTAATGAAGCAAGTGCAACAAGGAGATCTCAAGCAGGTAAAGTCCCTTAATCAAACATGAAAAATGGCTCAAAATAAGCCTAGTTCCAGTTAGGGTCGGAGCCCAAAACAGCAAGCAAGAATGGCTTATGAATGAATCAAGAAAATGCTAGAAAAGGGAAAATGGAAGCTTACCCTTGAAGACTTGTCCTTGGCTGCTCCTTGGCTTGAGTTGCAGCACTCCTAGGCTCTGAAAAACAACTTCAAATGGCTGCAATGGAGGTTGGAGGTATGGTGCTATGGGTTGGTGTGTAAATGGCCAAGGATAATGCACTTTGGAGGCTTGGATGAGATAGATATATGGAGGATTATATGTAATGCTCCAGCTGGTTTTTCTAACCTGGTATAAGGAAGAGGAGAGCTTCCTTTATAGAGCCAAGAGACTAAAGCTTCTCTTAGAAGCTTCAAACCAAGAGCAAAGATCCTCCATACACGTGTATGGAGGATCCAGTCTGTGCCCTCCAGCTGGCACAGCTGGCATCCACTCAATCTGTAGAAAACTCCGGAAGGTCGTCGGCCAGCAAAAATGGCCGGTCAACACAATAAATTGCCGGTCGGCACAATAAATTGCCGGTTGGATAAATAGATTGCCGATAGGTGCTGCCAAGGTCAAAAAATGGCCGGTAGATGTCTAGATTGAAGCCCCGGAAGTTAGCTTTCCAATGGCGCAAACCTTGCATTAAAATTCGTCCTGTGCAAAAAGTTATGTCCTTTTTGGTGAAGCCGCGCAGATTCGATCCAACCGGGATGATGCCCAACTTCAACTGATCGTATCTCCCCCACCCGGACTTGGCTTTAAGAGATTCTTGAGCGAAAAATGAAGCCCCGGAAGTGAGCTTTCCGACGGTGGTGGCCCCATAGCTAAAATCAAAGTATGCAGATTAATAAGCCCGATTCAGCGAGGACTGCTCGACTCCCTTCTACCCAGATTCATGCCTGTCTTCTCCTCCAACTTGGTTTCTTCTCTCTTCCCCTCCTTTCTTCAACTTCAAACCCCTAAGCAAGGTGTTTTGAAAGATTTTTCAAAGATTTCATCTCTCTTTAATTCATCTCCAACTTGTCCTTGCTCGGTTTACCGAAAAGCGCAACGTTTGACAAAATGCGAGCCTCGGAACATCGCAGAAACTTTATTTCAAAAATGTTTTGAAAGAGAGGGTTTTAAGGTCTAAAAACCATTCAAAATAGTTTTGATCCAAAATGGGTGTGAAGTTGGATTTGGCTCTCTCCTTGCCGAAGAGATTGAACCTTTGCCCTGCACATCTTTTACCACCAAGTAAACCATCAGTAACGCCCAAGTCTTAAGGGCGGTCAAAAATGGGGTGTCTACAGTAACACAAAATACAATGAGGCTCGTGTAGCTTGTATCATCATGCACAACAATTTAGTATCTACAATTATGGAAATCAAACCACACATTTCTCTATATGGATCCAAATGAAAACAACCTTTTACTTTTTTGAAGACAACCCCCACATTCGCCGACTACTATATGGCGGGAAGTGGGCACCCTAAGAAAATCATCCGTTTTTCCACTTTTGCCAACTACTATACGGCGGGACTGTGTGGACACCCAAAAACATTTTTCCCACATTCGTTTAGCGATAAGCCTAGACAGGGCATTTGGGCATCTTTTTAAACTTCCCCCACAGGTACTAACACAACACCACTCTTAGACATCACCAACTCACACATGGACTCATGCATTCTCGACAATTCAATCACATTCCAGTCCCATAATACAACATTCAACATTATCATAAATAGCCATCACACAAAATCTATCAAACAATAACATTTCAGTAACCCTTTCTTTAACTATATCAGTCCCCACCTTTCTTCTCTCCATTCTTCCTCAATTTCCATGAATCAAGAAAGAATTCATTATATCAAGTAATTCCTATGCAAATAGAACTTAGGGTTTTATAAATTTTGGGGGTTTTATCGCTCTTGTCACCAATCTAAGTTTTCACAACATTTACATTCATTTTTAGAAAAGGAATTTGAGAAATTTCAAACAAATTATAAAACAAGAGGTTAGACATATGTAATAATGGTTTAATCTAATAAAATCCCCAAATTAATTCACACATCACACACATTGCCATGGAATCCCTTCAACAATGAAGAAATACAAAGATAAAAGTGTCCCTACCTCAACTATCAAACTAAATATCCAAACTCCTTCACGGATCTATCGCTAAGCCACAATCCAATCGGTTGACAATGATACCCTTCAAGTGTTCTTCGCCCCTAGCAAACGATCTCGGGTGGATTTCAAGTGTATGTGAGGTATTTGATGGTAGAAATTTAGGGTTTCAAAGAGAGAAGGAGAGTAGATGGAGAATAGAAAAAGAAAATGTCCCAGAATGATCTAGAATCGCAGTGTTTAAAAAGCTGATATCATGTTCCCCGCTCGAGCGCGACTTCCCACGCTCGAGCGTCCAGACGACTTCCCCGCTCGAGCGAAGAAAGAAGAGTCTCAAAGGTTTCAGTAAAGCTACAGTATAATTACTAGATGCTAGCATTTCACGCTCCAGCAGGACTTTCCACGCTCGAGCGGAGACGCCTGCAACGTAACACAATACTGAGGGCATCAATTCTACGCTCGAGTGGCGTTTTCCCCACTCGAGCGGACCTGGAAACAAAATGTCACAATCTCTCCCCCTTAGGGAATTTTGCCCCCGAAATTGTTTTCTACCTCCCACCTGCTATAACTAATGGCAACATCAACAAAACAGATATAAACACATGTATTCTAGTCTTCTATCATTTTTATTGCATCACTCACCAGTCTTTACGCATTCCACCAATAATCAATATGCATGTACATATCTATAAACATTTCCACTTTAACACATAACTAATAGTAGGGATATAACCATAAGAAATTTGCTTACTCTCAATACAACCACAAGTCAAAGTCAAACATCCACCACATCATCCAATTTAAACACCCAATTTAAACATAATACTACTTCAAAGTCAAAGTCAAAGTCAAAGTCAAAATAAAGGAACATTAAGAGTTTGTGGCTCAAGATTAACTCCATTAGTTACTCAAGAAACGTAAGAAATTTAATACATTACGAATTTGAGAATAGTTCGGGGTATTTCTCGCGGACTTCGGCTTCTCGCTCCCATGTTGCTTCTTCCACACCATGATGATACCACAACACTTTAACTAGTGGAACCATCTTACCTCTCAACACTTGTTCTCATGTATCAAGAATTTGGATTGGCTTCTCCTCATATGATACATCATCGTTTACTTCAATTTCCATCCAATCTAACACGTGAGAGGGGCCGGGTTCATACTTACGGAGCATAGACACATGAAATACATTATGGACCCTTGAGAGCTGAGGAGGTAATGCAAAATGGTACGCCACTTCCCCAACTCGCTCGATGACGTCAAAGGGACCAATAAACCTTGGTGATAATTTTCCACTTTGGCCAAACCTCATCAGCCCTTTTCTAGGGAAGATTTTTAGAAACACATGATCGCTGATCTCAAAGGATAAGGGTCGTCTCCTCCTGTTTGCATAATTCTTTTGTTGGCCTTGAGCAGTGACTAACCTTTTCTGAAAAAGGGCTATTTTCTCGGTGGTTTCACGGACTAGATCTGGGCCTAACAAAGGTGAATCTCCTACTTCAGTCCAACATATCGGTGACCTACACGGACGTCCGTATAATGCCTCGAAGGGTGCCATTCCAATACTTGCTTGGAAGCTGTTATTATATGCAAATTCAACCAGGGGTAAATGCTTCTCCCATGACCCTTTAAAATCTAACACGCAAGCCCTCAACATATCTTCTAAAATCTAAATAACATGTTCGGATTGCCCATCAATTTGGGGGTGATATGCAGTACTAAAGTTCAGTTGAGTTCCCAAAGCGCTTTGAAGACTCTGCCACAACCTGGCTGTAAAACGAGGGTCTCTATCAGATACTATACTGATTGGTACTCCGTGAAGGCGAACAATCTCTCGAATATAGAGTTCTGCTAAAAATTCTATGGAGTCCCTCATACTCATGGCGAGGAAATAAGTTGATTTAGTAAGTCTGTCAACAATCACCCACACTGCATCGTTACTTCTTTGAGTCCTAGGGAGACCAGAAACAAAATCCATGTTGACGTATTCCCATTTCCATTCAGTAACTAGAAGGGGTTGCAATAGTCCAACCGGCCTTTGGTGTTCCGCCTTAACTTGTTGACAGGTTAAACACATGGACACAAAAGAGGCTACGTCCTTCTTCATACCCCTCCACCAAAATTGGCGGCTTAGATCATGATACATTTTGGTGCCCCCCGGGTGCACCGCGAAACAAGAATGATTAAAGTCTTTCAAAACTTCATTTCTCATGGATTCAGGCACGAACAACCGGTCGAGGTAACGAACACTAGAGTCTTTATGAACATTCAAACCCCTCTCTTCCTTTCCGAGTTGAATTCTCCCTTTAATGGTCTCCACTTCTGGATCACCCAGTTGAGCTTCAATTACTCTTGCAACAAGAGTCAGTTGTGTGATGGTGGTAAAAAAGGTTGCTTGTTCCGAAGATTCACCGAGCCGCAGAGAATACTCGTTGACATCTCCCAACATCTTCCATTCGTTCATTGCCAAGTTGGCTATTGTACCCATCGACTTCCTACTCAAAGCATCCGCTACCACATTGGCCTTACCGGGATAGTAGTGTATCTCAAAATCGTAGTCCTCCAGGAACTCCATCCATCTTCACTGCCGCAGGTCTAAGTCCTTTTGGGAAAATAAGTACTTGAGGCTTTTGTGGTCAGAGAAGACTTCAAATTCTCACCGTAGAGGTAGTGTCTCCATAACTTCAAAGCGAAAATGATGGCGGCGAGTTCCAAATTGTGAGTCAGGTAGTTTCCTTCATGAGTCTTTAGTTGACGCGAACCATATGCTACTACCCTTCCTTCTTGCATAAGAACACACCCCAATCCCTCTCTTGAGGCATCACAATACATCGTGTACCCTAATCCTCGTTCTAGAATGATAAGGATAGGAGCGGTGGTTAATCTAAACTTTAATTCTTGGAAGGAATTCTCACATGTTTCACTCCAAACAAATTTTATTCCCTTACGGGTCAACCTGGTCAACGGAGATGCCAAAGAAGAAAAGTTCTTCACAAAACGGCGATAGTACCCGACCAAGCCTAGAAAGCTTCGAATTTCGAAGGCATTCTTAGGCTGCTCCCAATTTAACACAGTTTCTATCCTCGAAGAATCCACCATAACTCCGTCTCCTGAAAGCACATGACCCAAGAACTTCACTTTCGTAAGCCAAAATTCGCATTTTTCATATTTAGCATAAAGCTGGTGCTCCCTAAGAAACTACAAGATAGTACGAAGATGCCCTTCATGCTCTTCTTCGGAAGGAAAATAAATAAGAATATCATCTACAAAGACCACAACAAATGTATCAAGGAACTCTCTAAAGATTCGGCTCATTAGGTCCATGAATGTAGCTGGGGCATTGGTCAACCCAAAAGGCATAACCAAGAGCTCATAATGACCATATCTGGTACGAAAGGCGGTTTTGGGAATGTCCTCTTCTCTAACTCGAATTTGGTGGTAATTCGACCTCAAATCTATTTTGGAGAAACAACGAGAGCCCTTAAGTTGATCAAAGAGGTCGTCTATTCTAGGCAAGGGATATTTATTTTTAACCGTAGCTTGGTTCAATTTCCGATAATCTATGCACAATCTCAAGGACCCATCATTCTTCTTTGCAAATAAAGCCAAGGCTCCCCATGGTGACATGCTAGGGCGTATAAAGCCCTTACTAAGTAACTCTTGCAACTATTCCTTCAGAACCACTAATTCAACTGGAGCAAACCTATACGGTGACAATGAGATAGGTGCCGTACCCGGAAGCAAATCTATGGTAAACTCTACCTCCCTACGAGGTGGTAACTCTGTGAGATCTTCAAGAAAGACATCAAGGTATTCACGCACTACTTTTGGGAATTCATTCCGGATTACATCACTTCCATCCTCCCAAAGGCTTGCTAAAAGGAAATTAAATTGATCTCAGCCACGAGGATAGCATGTGGGGGGTGAGGGTCTATCATACCTATCCTCCAAAAACGTAAAACAATCACCACTTACAGTACACACTATAACCCCCCCAGATGGCAATCTATTGTCGCCTGGTACATGAACAACCAATCCATCCCGAGAATAACATCAAAACCCAACATTTCCAACAATACAAAATTAAAAGGAACTTGTCGACCTGCTACCTCAATTACACACCCCTGACATTCCCAGGTCGGAATGACCTTTCCCCCTACTGGTGATTCTACTGTAAGCGAGGCTTGTAATTGTCTACTCTCTAACCCCAACAATAATGCGAATGATGTGGCAATAAAAGAATACGAAGCCCCAGTATCTATCAACACCTTGGCTCATGTATTGAAAATGAGAAATGTACCTCGCACAACTGATGACCCCATAGCTTGCTTAGAAGTAGTAACCGCGTACACCCTTCCCTGTGACCTCTGCTTCCCTACATCACCCCTCTGAACATAAGTTTGTTGTGTAGACTGATTAGATGAGGCTCCCTGAACTGTCCTAGATACTTGTCCTGATTGAGCCGGCTGATATGATTGTCTTTGTCCCTGACTCACCTGTGGGTCTCCAAACTGCCTCGACCCCGCCATCTCCAAAACCCCGACTTTTTGTGGACAAAACCTCTTCAAATGTCCAGGTTGGCCACATTGATAACAAGATTATTGATGGTTCCTACTTTGAGGTTGACTCTGTGAGCGCACTGGCTGAGACCGTGTCCCACCCATCTGCCCACACTCTGCAGCCTTGTGACCCATCTGGCCACACCTATAATATGCACCGGTAACTCGGGGCATGTTTCCCGAACTCTCACTTGACACATGGCTTGAAGATTTAGTTTGTTGCGGGGATGATTGCCAAGATGATGATGAACCCCTAGACCTCTTGGAAGAACCCGTGTCACCTCTAGTGCCAGACTGTCCTGTTCTCTTTGATCTTTGTCTTGCTTCCTCGGCCTCTACCGTGATTTCTACATGGGTTACAGCTTTGACTAGATGGTCAAAGTCACGGATCATGTTGCCAACCACCTTCATCAAGATCTTTGGTCTCAACCTTTTCTCAAATTCAAGACACTTTCTTTCTTCCGTAGCTACCAATTCAGGTGCAAAACGAGATAGACTAGTGAATTTCGCTTCAATTCTTCCACCAGTGTATCTAACTGTAGTAGTTGCTCAAATTGTTTCCTTAATCGTTCTCTAGCTGTGGGAGGGAGGAATTTGTCCTGGAAAGCTTGCTTCCTAAGTAGGATCAACCCTATGCTTGACGGACTTCCACCATTGCCCGGCCTCCCCCTTCAGCTGATAAGCCGCCAACGCCACTCGCAACTCATTCTCCCTGATGTCTAAGATCTCAAAGGACTTGATTATCTGTTCCAACCACTCATCGGCCTTCATTGGATCAGGTTCGCCACTATACTCGGCAGGATTGGAACGAAAGAACTCATTTTTCAAAAAGGAAGCTCTCGTTTCCCCCTCAATGGTTCTAGCCGCTTGCTCGGCTCTCAACATTTCCATAGACTCCCGCAAAGTCCCTTCCATCTCCCTAGCTAATATCCCCATAGGTCATTGGGCCGGTGGAGCGGGTATGTTGTTTTGGCTCACTCCCTCCTATTGCGGAGGAATCTCAAGTTGAGCTGGGATGTTCCGGCCACCTCGTTGGGGCCTACCCCATGCTCTAGCGCGCCCAGACATCTATAAGAAATATGGACAAGAATTAAATTTAATAACAACTTGTCAGCACCTAAGTGCCCCTTACTCAATCCTCTTGAAAGCATCATAATCGAATAAATACACAACATGCACATAAAAACAAACCTGAGTTATCCTCCCTAGATGTTAGCTAATTCCATGGCAATCAAGGACCTCCAAGTGGAAAGAACAGTGATCAAGTGTCTTTCCAAGAGGATTTCGAAGAATGCCATGGACAAAGCCACATCCTAGGATTCTAACCCTATATCCATATAATCACGTAAAAACACATAACACCTAGAGTTAATCCATATAATCTAAGGACCCTATTGCGACTAACGTCACTTCCCATGAGCCCAAAGTATTCCAACCTATGGCTCTGATACCAACTTGTAACGCCTTGTAATTTCACCCTGTTACACACACTATTAACATGATCATAAAATCCCAAAAAGGGTCATCTTTCCCATTGAACTAAAAGTTGAGTGTCTACACTTCATATGGTACATTTTCAAGATGTTCAAAGTCTTCTCTCAGTTCGGTGAGCTAGATAATTTAACAAAACATAAACTCCTTGGGCATACAACATTACAAATACAAAAGATAGTTCTGTTACATAATTTCCAAAATAAATGCAAAAAACTAAAAGCCCTAGACTTCAATTAACTCCCCAAAAGAAAACAAGGTTGGTGCTTACGCCAATCCTTCAACGAGGTTGACCTTCTTCGATTCCTAAAAAACAAATTATGGTTGAGCCACATGCCCAGTAGGAATACATTTATGCAGGTATCTAATCCTTTGAATAAGATTATGGCATCTATATGATAAAACATTATAGAAAAGTTTGCTTTCATTAGAAATCGTTAACAATTCATAAGGTAACGCAAAATACAACGAGGCTCGTGTAGCTTGTATCATCATGCACAACAATTTAGTATCTACAATTATGGAAATCAAACCACACATTTCTCTACATGGATCCAAATGAAAACAACCTTTTACTTTTTTGAAGACAACCCCCACATTCGTCAGCTACTATATGAAGGAAAGTGGGCACCCTAAGAAAATCATTCGTTTTTCCACTTTTGCCGGCTACTATACAGCCGGACTGTGTGGACAGCCAAAAACATTTTTCCCACATTCGTTCAGCGATAAGCCTAGACAGGGCATTTGGGCACCTTTTTAACCTTTCCGCGCGGGTACTAACACAACACCACTCTTAGACATCATCAACTCACACATGGACTCATGCATTCTCGATAATTCAATCACATTCCAGTCCCACAGTACAATATTTAACATTATCATAAATAGCCATCACACAAAATCTATCAAACAATAACATTTCAGTAACCCTTTCTTTAACTATATCAGTCCCCACCTTTCTTCTCTCCATTCTTCCTCAATTTCCATGAATCAAGGAAGAATTCATTATATCAAGTAATTCCTATGCAAATAGAACTTAGGGTTTTATAAATTTTGGAGGTTTTATCGCTCTTGTCACCAATCTAAGTTTTAACAACATTTACATTCATTTTTAGAAAAGGAATTTGAGAAATTTCAAACAAATTATAAAACAAGAGGTTAGACATATGTAATAATGGTTTAATCCAATAAAATCCCCAAATTAATTCACACATCACACACATTGCCATGGAATCCCTTCAAAGATAAAAGTATCCCTACCTCAACTACCAAACCAAATATCCAAACTCCTTCACGGATCTATCGCCAACCCACAATCCAATCGGTTGACAATGATACCTTTCAAGTGTTCTTCGCCCCTAGCAAACGATCTCAAGTGGATTTCAAGTGTATGTGAGGTATTTGATGGTAGAAATTTAGGGTTTCAAAGAGAGAGGGAGAGTAGATGGAGAATAGAAAAAGAAAATGTCCTGGAATGATCTAGAATCGTAGTGTTTAAAAAGCTGATATCGCGTTCCCCGCTCAAGCGTGACTTCCCACGCTCGAGCGTCCAGACGACTTCCCCGCTCGAGCGGAGAAAGAAGAGTCTGAAAGGTTTTAATAAAGCTACAGTATAATTATTGGATGCTAGCATTTCACGCTCGAGCGAGACTTTCCATGCTTGAGCGAACACGCCTGCAACATAACAAAATACTGAGGGCATCAATTCTACACTCGAGCGGCGTTTTCCCCTCTCGAGCGGACCTGGAAACAAAATGTCACAAATTTTTTTTTTTAAGGGAAGGGCCAAAAGAAACTTGAATGTGGTTTTTTTTAAGCTTGGAGTGTCGTAGGCATGGGTGGTTATTTTACGATGAAATGTGGTTCTTTTACGATGAAATCATGAAACTGTCCTATTTATACCCAAAAGACAGTATAAGTTGATTCAATCTGACAAGGACATGAGTATTGCACATTGTTTTCCTGTGCATTTTGTTAGTTTCTTTAGACCAAGAATCAAACCATCTAATTCAAGTAATCAATCAAAACCACACACATAACCATATAAAATTCTAAACCTGCCAATATGAATAATATAAAATTTAAGTTAAAGATGCACTGTTTTATGTCAACATCAATAACCTGCCAATCAATAATACCAAGAACAAAAAGAGATTAGATTCCACAATAAACATAGTTAAATTAGTACAGTATGGAAAAAATAGAATTTGGAAGTAGACTAACAAATAGAAGGCTTCTCTGTTAAACCAACCGATAATGATGAAATTATAAACAACCAATTAGAGAATTCTATGTAAATAAGAAGACTTTTGTTAATGAGATTAATCAAAGATTGAACAGGATGATACTATAAATCCAAATAATTAAGTTATGAAATTCAAATATCTATCATTAACGCCAGGGAGAGCCATGAATTTGAAATCTTAGTAAATAAAAACTCCGACTCAACTTCCATAACTTATGAATTAAACAATATCAATAACTCATGAATTTACCTTTTATATCAATAACTCATGCCAATTAAACAATATCAATAACTCATGAATCTACCTTTCATAGATGTTGAATTTACATTTGGTTTATTGAATTTACCTTCTTGTTTACATTAGTAAAGTTTCGAATTCCATGGAAATTGAATACATTTGTACTAATTAAACAAAATCAAAATTTTAACTGAAATAGGTGGTGGGAGTGAGTGAGAATCATTTCATTATGAATCTTCAGCCTAAAACAAAATCTACACACCCACACACGTGGGCTCAACTGGTGGCGTATGATGAGATTACAAATGTACATTAAATATTGAGGGGAAAAAACAAAGGTGAGAAAGGTTCAAATGAAAACCTCTTTGTACAATAATGCAATTACTACATACTAAAAACCCCAAAAAAGCATGAAATAACAACCCATTCATATGAAAAATATATCTAAAAATCTAAGTTTGGGTGCTTACCACGAAAAAGTTATTGAACCCATAAAATATAAATCTTGAGAGAGAGAGAGAGAGAGAGAGAGAGAGAGAGAATCACCACAAATCAACTATGTAGAGCATGTGTTGGTCTTCAAAATCAAAGAAAAGAAATTATCAAACTTCCAAATTGCCCATAATAGCTTTCAAACTTCCAAATTGCCTACAAAATCAAAGAAATTATTGAAATCAACTTCCCAAACAAATTATCAAACAAAAACCCCAATGGATTTTAATTGCTTTGAAAAATTATACTTTCATTTGGGTTTAAAGTTCTATGTATGGTGGAGAGGATCACCACTTATATAATTTTGAACAAACAAATAAAAACAAAAGATCACAGAACATTACTCAAAAAAGGAAACTTAATTCACACATTTATCAAAATCACCCAAATCCTATATTAGAATACTAATCATATTTGAAACACTTTAATCTCATTTATGCTTTATTTGGTTCACTGGAATGAGATGAAATGAAATGAAATGGTTATTCCTTACACTTCCCCATGGAATGATGCCTTCAAGCTGATAAGTTAGTTTGGTTTGCCACAAAATCAGGTGACTTCCCAGGATTGCCACTATGAGAAATTGTTATGTTTGTGTGAAAATAATAAATATTGTAAATTTAAATAATAATTATAAAAAAAAAGACAATTTACATGACCAAATCAGGGACATTATCCATAGTTTTAGACGGCGCTGCAGGTTGGTAGTGCTCAAACCTGTAATACGTAAGTCAGGTGACCAAAATACATAAGAGTTATACATAACCAAATGAAGTAAACAACTTTTAAATATTCAATTAAAACAACGTATAACTAAAAAACAAAAACTAAAAATGAATTTCAGGATTTTAAATACAACACATAAGTGAAGAGAGACAACAAACCCAATCAAACACAACACGTAATAAAAAATCAAAAACACAATATACATTACACTATTTCTTATAATGAAATCTAATAAACACAATATTTCTGCTTTTTCTGCTCCATACATTACAGTATACACTATTTCTTATAATGAAATCAAAAACAATTTCTACTCTTTCTTTTGTTTTTTTTATTTTATTTTTAAAACCATAATACAATCATGTTCACAAAAAAAGACTGTTAACAGATTGGTGGGGATGGAAAAAACAAAACAAAACAAAACAAAACAACCTAAGATGAATCACTTACCTATTATAGGTTTGCGAAGAGAGACGAGGGGCCAATCCACTTGATTGTGATCAAAATAAAGAAAATTTCTCCCAAAATCGCTTTTCCACACACCAACAATGGTGATTAGACTTGAAGAGGGAGGGGCTGCAGTGGTGGTGAGATGAAGGGTGCTCCTAATGGCTGAGGCGGTGGCTGGTCGGTTGAGAATGTGGTTCAAAATTTGAAACCTTTGGAATTGAGAGAGAGAGAGAGAGAGAAAGAGAGAGAAATGCTAGACAAAAGTGAAGAGAGAGAAGAGAGAGAAGAGAGAAGTCCTCCTCTGTATAGATATTATATATACCAAGCCATCCAAATAATCTCACCCCTTCATTCTTAAAACCAAAAACAATCTTCGCCATCCACCTAGACAAATGTCCCATCAAGTTTCAAAAACCCTCTTCCCTT